CCGTGATCCACCGCTATCTGCCCGAGCTGGAAGATATATTTGTTACCTCGTCCGTCACCCTCGGGACCACTGGGGAAGATGTGCCGGAGGCCCTTGCCGAGTCAGATTGGCAATACAGCTGTAAGTACGAGCTGCAGAGTGGCGCGAGGGGCACTGTACATGTGCACCCCGTATCGGCGAGCAAGTGCCCGCGCTGCTGGCGCTATGTGGTGCCTCCCGAAGCCCCGGAAGAGACGGTGTGCGGGCGCTGCGAGGAGGTTGTGCAAGAGTTGGATGCATCGGCCTCAGTGGACAGTTCCTTGGCATGATCCGAGGACTAGCTCTGCATGTGTATTATAATAGTAACATTGTGTAGGAGTACTTCATTATTTCTGAATCAAACAATATCCCCATCCATCTTCAATCCCACAACCCCGTACATGGCAGCAGTGTAGAGTCCCAGACGGGAATGGCGTCATCCCGTGGCAAGCAGCGCGGACCGGCTTCTCTCCTCCCTCCTTCCTCGCCATTCCTCCACTCCTTCCCCTCCACCTCCACCTCACCTTCCATCATGCAACTCCTCCCTCAAGCTACCAGGGGACTTTGCCCGGCACCGAATCCTACAGGTTACACCATTCCCCTCAACGTTGCGCGCGCATCCGCCCATGATTGGTTCCGATCGGGACCCGTATCTCAATGACGACAACGGCGAGGTCAGCATGACGACGGTCTCGACCTGCTGTGAATCCCTCAAACCACAACGATGCCTCAACCAGCCGAGTTAAATATTCCACTGGAGCCTGGCCCATCCCCATCCGATCCCCTGTTTCCCCGCAATCCCGCCCTGCCCCGACCAGCTCCCATCCATCCCGAACTGCGTGCGCATCGCGATCCCGTCGAACATCCTCAACATGATCGAGTCCTTCATCAAGCAGACTCAGCCTATCCCATGGCCTGAGCCCACGCCAACCTCCTCGGTGGCACCCATCCCCACCGTCGTCCCCGGCAGTGATCCCATCTTTCAGATGCTGCATGACACCGGGAAACGGACTCTATGGTGTGTTGTTCCTCCTCATTCCCACGAGATTCCACACAGGGGACTAACAAGTCAGGGTGGTCACCGTGCTCATGGGTCTCTCCTCCCTCGTCTTCTACGTCCTTGGAGCTCGAGTCCCCCTCGTAAGTCCTGTCTCGACCCGGTCAGCACCCAACGCAACAAACTAACCCTAAAATCCAGAGCAAACGCGTCTTCCATGTCCTGATCTCCCTCGCCACTACCATCTCCTTCATAGTCTACCTCGCCCTCGCAACCGGTGAAGGCATGGACTTCAAACTCGACGTCATCAAAGAACACAACAAGCACGTCCCCAACACCTCGCAAGACTACTACCGCCAGGTCCTGTGGCTACGCTATGTCCTCTGGTTCCTGACCGAGCCTCTGGGTCTGATCAGCCTGTCCCTACTGGGAGGTCTGCCCGGCGCGCATCTCCTCATTGCCATTGCCGCAGACTACGTGATGCTCGGCTCCGGCCTCCTGGGCATCTATGCGGGTCACACCTCGCGGCGATGGGTGTGGTTCACCATCAGCGCAATCGGATATCTGACCACAGTGTACCACATCAGCGTGCACGGCGCCCGGGCCGCGAGCAACAAGGACTCGCAGACGAGACGCTTCTTTGGAACCATCTCCGGCGTAATGCTGTTCGTTAAGATCCTGTATCCTGTGTATGTTCCCTCCTCCCCCTCAACCTCTTCACAAATACAAGAAAGAGCTAATGAGAACAGAGCTCTCGCTGCTGGACCCCTCTCCCTGAAAGTCAACGTCGACGTGGAAACCATCCTCCTCGCCATTTACGACATCTTCTCCCAGGGCATCATCGGATACTGGCTGATTCTCGCGCACGACGCAACCCCTGGAATGTAAGTCCACATCTCTCCTGTCATCCTTACCAACAAAAGTAAAGACTAACAGCAACAAAAGAACTTTAAACGTCGACGGCTTCTGGTCCCACGGCATTGGCAACGAAGGCGCCATCCGCATCAGCGAGGAAGACGGCGCGTAAAGCCCATCTGTCAACGTCCCCCAAACTCCCGAGATATTTACTCAGGGCCAGTAACAACAAATTGACTGTCGGAAAGAAACCCCTCCCCCCCGAGAGACAGTCAACCTACTACACTCGTTACCTATCTTCCGCCATCTCATACCCACCCTATCCACTCCTTCTCATATCCATGAATCTTCATAATTGAACCCCCCAACCACACCAGTAATGAAGCACAAGTATGACCACACACATTAATACGGAACACGCGTTTCCTGCAAACCCCAAAACAACAAAACTCCAAAAGTTCCCTTCCCTGCTGGACTTGACTACATGGGAGAGTAATACATTACATTCCCTAATGAAATGAAATGAAATGAAATAAAATGATATGATGGCATACATGTCCTGCTTGACACCTACTTGGTTTTGGTACTTTGTTGATTGCGCATGGGTTTTGTATAGTGGGTTTTTTTCCCATCATGGATTTAGGATGTGGGCGTTAGGTTAGTTACTCAAAAACAACAACAACAATGACTTGTTTTATTCTTAATTGATTCTTTTGGGTTTTGTATGGTATTCCAGCGGAGAGGTGAAGGGAGGGGAGGTATCTTAGCAAGCAGGCGATCAGATCAGATTGAATATGGTTGGTGATTTCATAAGTCTTTGTCTTTTTTTTTTAAAAAAAAAAAAATAATAATGAGAGATGGATCCACTTAACCCCACGATTCTCTCAATCCTGATGACGCTATGTAAATCTGGAAGTAGGCGTTCGATTACTTGATTGCCTTGTTGCAACTTATTTGCAACGAGAGTACGAGCAATCCGCACAAAAGCAGACGCAGAAGATCGTTGTGTAACATGAACAGTGGTTGGGTAGGTAGGTAGCGATACAACAGCTCTTCAAGGCTCGAGACATCCGGGTTTTAACATGATGGTTCCAACATCAATGATTCATCTCCTTCCTACATACACAAATATCTATCCAACTTCTATATTTCCTGAAGTATCCTCTAACGTAACCCACCACCGAGCGCCGCACACCACCGAGCGCCGCACCTCTTCCCGATTCCCACCTCCAGGTGAGATTCAAGCGCCTTTATCAACAAAACAATTGCATTTCTATAGAAAAACTAATTACTAAGTAGATTAGGATATCTAACCTTAGTATGCCCCTGAACATGACAATTAGAATACCGCGGTGGCGTGTGTACGCGAGGTCCAACTGCAGGAAGTACTGGATCCCCAGATACAGTATCTTGAGCTTTATTAACCTGATTCTCCTGCTGGAATCGCTCCTGGCTCTTCTGGATAGAAAGGCCTTCTGTAGAAGCAAGCTGCTTAATAGATCTCTTGCGCTTTTAAAGCTTCTTCTCATATGCAGCTTGTAGATTATGGTTTTCATGTACTAAAATAGTAGTACTATTCATTGCCGTTTCACACGCTTTAATAAGTTGATCTAGCGCAACCTTTATAGGAGAGGAAGGACTCTGTGTACGTACTCTAAGCAGCTTCTTGAGTGTAGATGCCCGCTTCTTAAGCTGCTTAGTAGTATAGGGTGTCTTAGGTACTGAATCAGTTGACCGACTGCCTGGTGGTATAGGAGTTTTTAGTTGAATATTCAACTGATTAAGCACTCGCTCTAGGTTATATAGAACTAGCCCAGTAGCAGAGAATCTACTGCAGATATTACTAGTAGTATAGATCTCTATATATACCTGAGGGAAAGCTTCAAGAAAGTCAAGCTTGTCGATATAATTAAACCTAAGGCGCATCTTGGTTTCTACTAAGCGACCGTACGCGCGCTTTAGTAGTAAGAAGCAGCCAACATCCAGAGATTGTAGTAGATGCGAAGAATGAGCAGGCATACAGATAGGAATAACATTATTCTTACTGTATATCTGGTCGAATTGAGGTATTAGATAACTGCCATGGCTATCAAGAACTAGGAGACGGTATTTTCCAGTAATACGCGCAGTAGTTGCAGGAATGAAGAGATTTTTAAGCCAGCGGAGGCCTATCTTATTACTAGTCCAGCTATTAGGACTAAGCTCAATCCTCCAGTCATATAGAAGGTTTGGAGTTTGATACCAATCCTCTATATAGACCTTCCCCTTGAAGATAATATACGGAGGAAGCGCCCAACCAGAGGTATTAATATACTTAATAGAAGTAACCTATTCCCGATTTCCTGGCTGTACGAGAGGTTGTCTCCTATATATATCAGCTCTAGTAACTACTTTAGCAGTAGCTACGAGGCCCATAGCAAAGCCAGTCTCATCGAAGTTATAGATATCTTCAGGTACAATCCCATGCTGCATTATAGTAATTTATATACAGTTAAACCACTCCCTAATAATCTTAGGGTCTTCACATTAAGCACGCCGATAGTCATATCGTCGAGAAAAGCATGTCTTTAATTTATTATATTATTTAATAAACTTGAAGACCCAGTTCTCTCCAACTGTTTGACTTGGTGTAGTATCACGCGCAGCAAGAAGAATATTGGCTATTTCTCGTACATGAGATGGTCGGGGAGGTGCTCCACGTTGAGAAAGCAATAAGATCCATCGTGTAAGTGATTCCTCTTTATTTTGAGTTAATTTATAGCAGTTGGCGCGTGCTTCAAGACGTGTAGGAACACTACTAAGTCGTTGACGGAGGGTTCTCTCAGAGATATTATAGATACGACCTGCTTCACGAATACTGCGAATTTCCTGCTTCTTTAAAGCAGACATTACTAGTAAGATCCTACCCTCCTGCTCAGTTGAATTTCTTTGATTTTAACGCGGTTTTGGAGGCATAGTGGGCGGTTGTATTAAGAAGGGCAGACTGACGCGTAGATTTTTGATGAGGTGCGGCGCTCGGTGGTGTGCGGCGCTCGGTGGTGGGTTACGTTAACTATACTTCGCACAATTCCATTTGCCTATTTCCGTAAAATACTTTGTAGTAGTTACTTAACCATGTGATTATTAGTCAGCACTTGTGGCTCAGTGGTAGAGCGTCGCACTCGTAATGCGAAGGTCGTGGGTTCAATCCCCATCAGGTGCAGATCATTTTTGCTAGTTTTTTTTACTGTACGGGCTAGCTAGCTAGCTACTGGACTGGGTCTGGGTATTAATTAATTAATGCGATAGACTGACTATCTTATATTGTTACCGAAGTTCATTTTGTCCCATACTACTTACTTTATATACTTTACTGATTAGCACTGCGTGCTAGGCACCTCTACATTGGTTACATCCAAGTGGACTAGATTAGGACTATTATGTGGGATGAGGGAACATGTTCATTCATTTCTTTGACTTCATTTAATTTGGTATTGGTATGTGACATTGACGATTCATTTGTCTGGATGTGAAAGGCTCGTCGACTCGAGCATCATGTTCCCTCTATGAGACACGCCGGGTCGGATTCCCGCGTAGGGGAAGGAGAAGTCGTAATTGAGTCGATCATTTTTCACCTTTCTCAAGGAGCTTGAAGGCCGAGTTACCCGCCGTGACGGCTTGTTGTTGTAAGCCGACAACATCCGTGCAGCTTCTCGATCATACCAAATGATATTGGCTCGTGGTGGGGATGATAGCAGTCATACATAACAGAAAGTCACGGACTTGAGGGCTTCTTTTGCATCCGGCGGACGTGAATGATGACCAGGAACTTGGTTTGCACGAGTCAACTTTAAAGTCGGTAGTGGCTATTTTGGTAATCTTGTTCTGCGCGTTGGTGATACATTTCAATATCCCTTGATATAGGTAAGTTAGAAAATAAACTCAGTATATAGAAGCAAATTGTCCAGCTTACCCAGAGAAAAGAATGTCCCTATGTCCCAGGCCCGCCCTGCCTCCCTTCCACGGCCTAGGAGAGTTCGCATGTGAAAGAGTGTAGTGGGCTGCCTTCGCCAGGAAGAATGTAGGGAAACACGGAAAGTTAGTACGGATATAAAACAATCAAGATATTATTCGACTCACAAAAAAAATAAGACATTGCCTATATCCCAGGCCCACCCTACCTCCCTTCCGTAGCCTGAGAAAATGGATTGAAAATGCCGTAATAAGTCGATAAATGGTCTAGCTAAAGGTAGAGAGAAGCAATAATTAGTAAAACAGATGAAGCCCAAAAGAAACCGATCTGACTCACAGGCAGGCAATTGCGCCGTCTATATCCAAGGCCCGTCTTGTCTTCCTTTCATAGCCCGAGGAAATTCGCATCAATGACAAGAGTGTTAGCACATATAATTAATGATATGAGGAGCAGAAATGAAGAATGTCAAAATCTAATTTGGTAGTAACTTACTTGCGAAGTTTGCTAGTGTCTGCATCCCAGGCCCGTCCCTACCTCCCTTCGGTGACCTGAGAAGGCATGAAGCGCTGCAAAAGTCTGCATATCATATGCAATGTTAGCGCATTTTCCAAAATCAGAATATGAGAAGCATCATAACTTACTGGTTAGGAAAAGGTTGTCTGTTAGTAATGTCCCAGGCCCGTCCCTGCCACCCTTCCATGGCCTGTAGTATCTAGATCTGTAGGAGGACTGTAAGTAGTCAGCACCATTTCCATATTTTTTCATGAAAGCAGCAATGAGAGAAACAAGAAAATGACAAAGAAAAGAAAGAGGAGAAGCAAGGCAAAAAGTAGGTAAAAAAGGAGAGAAAAGAATAGGAAGATCGAAAGACATAAGAGACATAAAAAAGACGAAGAAATGCAAGAATTGAAAGCCAGTAAGAAAGGAAAAGAAAACATATAAAAAAAATAAGAAACACGGAAAGCAAATAAAACACGGGAAACACAGGAAATATAAGAAGTATAGGAAACATGAGAAACAGAGAAAATACTATAAGAAAGAAATAAGAAACGCAATGCAAGAACATAGGAGATATAGGGAATGCAAGAACCGCACGAAATGAAAGAAACACAAGAAACAAGAAAGGCAAGAAATGAAATACAAGAATATAGGAGATAAAGGAAATGCAAGAAACGCAATAAATGCACAAAATATAAGAAACATAAAAAAGGCAAGAAAGGCAAGAAACATAGGAAATGCGGGAAACACAGACAATTCAGAAACCATAAGATATATAGGAAATATAGGAAATAAAGAAAGTGCAACACATGTAGAAAACATAAGGAACAGAGGAAACAGTAAAGCAGTAAAGCAGTAAAGCAGTAAAGCAGTAAAGCAGTAAAGCAGTAAAGCAGTAAAGCAGTAAAGCAAATAATAGACTGGCAAAAAGACATATAAAAAACAATAAGAATAGCTCACAGTACAACTCAGGAATATTAGGAGAAAAGGATATAGAAAGACTCGCACGCAGAAGAACTCGCAGAAGGACTCGCACGCAGAACAAGAATAAGCAGCAGAATAAGAATATGGAAAATAGGAGGATAAAGATAATAAGTAATAAGAGGAGCAAAACAACAAGTAGAGAAATAAACAGAGCAACAAGCAAAATAATAAGACTAAGAATAAAACCATGAGCGGAATAAGCACAACAAGCAGAGCAAGCAAAACAGGCAGAATGAGCAGAATGAGCAGAATGAGCAGAATGCGTAGAATGCGTAGAACGAGTGGAGCAAGCAGAACGACAAGCAGAACGGCAAGAAAGACGACAAGCAACAAGCAGAACAACAAGCAATAAGCAAAACGACAAGCAACAAGCAGAACGGCAAGCAACAAGCAGAACGGCAAGCAGAACGACACAAGTGAAGGTAAAGAACAGCAAACAGACTGAAGAAATAGAACCAAAAGAAAAACAAAAAACACTAATATAAGAGATAGCCAACCTTTAGATCTTGTAAATCACGATAAGATATCAAGATGTGAAATAACAAAAGCAGAAGAGAAAGGAAGTAAGAAAATGTATACTAGGAGCCCCAGGCCCAGCCCAACCACCCTCCGTTGGCCTGTGTTGTTGACATGGACGTGGACTTGTATAATTTTCGATAGGTCGGTTGGGTAGGTAGATCGATCGGGGGGTAGGCAGGAGGAGGTAGGCGGTGGGAGGAGTTAGAAGGAGGCCGAGGGGGCAGAGGAGATAGGAGGAGGGAGAGGGGCAGATAGAGCAGATAGGGCAGACAAGAGACTGATGGAGGTGAAGGAGGCAGGAGGAGGAGGAAGAGAAGGGGGAAGAGGAGGGAGGTAGAGGAAGAAGGTGGTGGATGGGGCAGATGGGGGCAGATAGGGCAAAGGGGGGAGAGAAGGTGGGAGGAGAGAGGGAGGAGGTAGATGGGGGCGGATAGGGACAGAGGAGGTAAGTAGAGGCAGGGGGGAAAGAGAGAGAGAGAGAGGAGTAGGTGGGAGTGGAGGAGGAGGAAGTAGAAGGATATAGGTAGAGGTAGGAGGTGGTGGTGGGAAGAGGTGGAGGGGGTAGAGTAAGGCAGAGGGGCAAGAGGAAGGAGGAGGAGGAGTAGGGCGTAGGCAGAGTCAGATAGAGGTGGGAGGAGGTAGATGGAGGTGGAGGGAATTGGAGAGAGGTGCAGGAAGCAAAGGAGATGGGGTAGATAGGGTAGAGGCAGGAGGAGGTTGATAGAAAAGGAGGAGAGAGGAGAGAGAGGAAGTAGGAGGTATATGGGGCAGAGGAGGTAGGAGGAGGTAGATGGGGTAAATTATGGCAATGGAGGAGAAAGTAGGAGGAGATAGGCAGAGGTATGAGGAGGTGGTGGGAAGAGGTGAAGGGGGTAGTGTAAGGCAGAGGGGCAGGAGGAGAGAGGGGACAGAGGAGGTAGGAGGCAGATGGGGTGGAGGAGGTGGTGGAGAGGATGGAGGAGCCAGAGGAAGGAGATTGGGCAGATAGGGTAGAGGAGGAGGCGGTGGGTAGAGGCAGGAGACAGAAGGAGATGGAGGGGGTAGATGGGGCAGAGAGGAGGCTGATGGAGATGAAGGAGGTAGGAGGAGGTGGGTGGGTCAGAGGAGGTAGAAGGGGGTAGATGGGGTAAATTAGGGCAAAGGAGGAGGAGGAGGAGGAGGAGGATGTTTGGGAGGGTGGGATAGAGGGTAGGTAGGTGACCTGAGACACAGTTAGAATATGATCGAACAGGCATAGAAAGGAAAAAGGCAAAGAAAAGAAAAGAAAGGTATAATAGGAACCTCAGGCTCATCCAACCTCCCTCCATTGGCCTGTGTTGCCCAGGAGAGGGTAGAACTGTTTTATGATGCCCATATGCCGGTAGGTCGGTGGTTGATAGGTGGAGGTGGTGGAGGGAGCAGGTTGGCAGGCTGGTATGTGATCTGGAACATAGTTAGAACAGGATCTGACAAATTTGAAGAGAAGATAGACAAGAAAATATGGGATGGGACTCTTATGCCCGTCCCAGCTTACCGCCCATGAGCTTGTATTGGATAGAGGAGCGTGGACTTACCCGGTACGGTACTCACAGGAGCTCCCAGGAGACATGGGATAAGAAGAATGAGAAAGGGGAAGACAATTGTGCCCTTTTGTGGTGCTTGTACATGGTCGTGGGCGTATGCCTATCTGATACTATACAGGCAACTACTTCTTCTAAGTCTAAGTCAGTCACCAAGCCACCACCTTGTCTCCATGTGTTCAGCAAGTATAGGTACTTACTGTAGATATCGAGAAAACGACATCTCAACTGTGCGGTTTCTCGAAGGCCAGCATGTCGAGAAGATGCTGAAGCCCGAGTTGCTGATGCAAGCTGCTCAGGCAGTTGAAGATGCAGACGAAGGGCATATAGCATTGCATCGTGGTCGACTGTGTGAGGGGACAGAGAAGATAGAGACAGTTGTGGGAGGGAAGAAGAGGACGGGGCCAGCTGGGGGCAGGGCCCGGATTTTATAGACGAGGGAGGCCGGAAAATTCTGGCAGAAATGGGGTGATCCTGAGGGTTTGCTTCTGAAAAAAATCGAGTATAGGTGCAATTGTGCAATCATTTAGGTAAAATGGCTTCAAATTGACTCTTCGCTTCTAAAAAAAGACGATGGTGGGTGTAATCGTGCAATCATTTTAGCTCACATGCACCTGTTCCTGACACTTCGCTTCTAAAAAAAGACGAGTGTAGATGCAATCTTGTAATCATTTAGCTCACATGCACCCG